GCACCATGATCAGGCTTACCCAATTTCTATTCTGAGCAAGGGATGCCGTCACTGTACTGTGCTCTGGTTGCTAAGGAAACCAGATAAGTGGGTTGCCAACACAATCTTCAAACTTTCTATGAAGATTAAAGCACCTTGCTCTGGCTAGAGAGCAGATGGGGAAGTCATAGGCGTGAGCCACATTTCTCATTACTGGGGGAGAGTTAGGCCAAGTGAAGGATGAAGTGGCATGATTTCCGGTTCATAGGAAAAAGATAAAATCTGTAGCTACTGGCTGTTTATTAAATCATAACTCTTTGCTAAATCAGTCAAGACAGGGGGTCTAAAATTGATTTATAGTTTCTTTTTTTAAAAGTATTTTTTTATTGATTTTAGAGAGGAAGGCAGAGGGATAGAGAGATAGAAACATCAATGATGAGAATCATTGATCGGCTGCCTCCTGCATGCCCCCAACTGGGGATCGAGCCCGCAACCTAAGCATGTGCCCTTGGCCGGAATTGAACCTGGGACCCTTCAGTCCGCAGGCCGACACTCTTATCCACTGAGCCAAACTGGCTAGGGCTATAGTTTCATTTCTACCACTAATTTTTTTTTTTAATCCTCATCCGAAGGTATTTTTTCCATTGATTGTTTTTTAGAGAGTGGAGGGATGGGAGTGGGTGGGTGGAAGAGAAAGAGAGGACCATGGATGAGAGAAACAAATAGATTGGTTGCCGCCCAAACAATCTCTTGACCGGGAATCAGATCCATGACCCTTTGGTGGATGCAGCTAGAGCAGCCGTGGGCAAACTACGGCCCGCGGGCAATGAATAAAACTAAAAAATAAAAGACCGTACCCTTTTATGTAATGATGTTTACTTTGAATTTATATTAGTTCACACAAACACTCCATCCATGCTTTTGTTCCGGCCCTCCGGTCCAGTTTAAGAACCCATTGTGGCCCTTGAGTCAAAAAGTTTGCCCACCCCTGGGCTAGAGCCACTAAGAAAACTGGCCAGGGTTCTACCACTAACTTTTTGGGTCAATGAACTGAAGTCAGACTTAGTGTAAAGTTTGAGAAGTCAGTGATGGAATAGAACAGTGATTTTCAACCTTTTTCATCTCATGGCACATGTAAACTAATTTCTAAAATACTGCAGCAAGCGGTAAAAAAGAAGGCATTCTTACCATTTGCAATAGCATGGATGGAACTAGAAACCATTTTGCTAAGCAAATAAGCCAGTCAGAGAAAGAAAAATATCACATGATCTCACTCATTTATGGAATATAATGAACAACATAAACTGATGAACAAAAACAGATCTAGAGACAGAGAAGCATCAATCAGACCGTCAAACCTCAGAGGGAAGGTAGGGGAGGGTGGGGGTAAGGGGAAGAGATCAACCAAAGGACTTGTATGCATGCATATAAGCCTAACCAATGGACACAGACACCAGGGGGGTGAAGACATGAGTGGGGGGGATGGTAGTATGTAAATCCATAACAGATGTATCATCCCTAGAAATAAAAGGAAGAACCGGGAGAAAATCACACAAGAACACAGTGCTATTAGACACCGTCTCAATTTCAGAGATTGGCCCTGTAGAGGGCCCATCTTAGCAAATATTTTAGGCTTTGCTGCCACAATTACTCAATTGTCACTGTCGCAGAAAAGCAGCCACAAATAATATGGAAAGGAATGGGTGTGACTGTGTTCCAACAAAACTTTATTTACAAAAACAGGCTTCTGGCCCATTTGGCACACAGGCTGTAGTTTGCTCATCCCTTTATCGAAAAGATTATGGGACAGTTTAAATGGTGTATCTCAAGTATTAGGGAAAGAATGAAACTTAAAGAAATAGTTGCACCTTTTTCTTGGCCATCACTGTTTGAATATTTGTAAAGTAGCAACATAGATCTTTCTTACCTTCTTAATTGCAAATGTTACAATACTTGCTAGAAACTCAACATTTGCCTTACAGCATTGGTTTTAGGAAAGGAAAAGCAAGAAAAAAGAACAATGACAGGGATGATGATCTCTTAACATTTCTCCCAGACTGAGAAACCAATAATTTTAAAACTTTCATCATTTCTCCTTAACCAGAGCTAACAAAATTAACTACTTTAATTTTTTAAATGTATACACCTAATTTTATTTTTTTAAAAATGTATTTTATTGATTTTTTTTTTACAGAGAGGAAGGGAGAGGGATAGAGAGTTAGAAACATCGATGAGAGAGAAACATTGATCAGCTGCCCCCTGCATACCCCCCACTGGGGATGTGCCCGCAACCAAGGTACATGCTCCTGACCGGAATCGAACCTGGGACCCTTCAGTCCGCAGGCTGACGCTCTTCCACTGAGCCAAACCGGTCAGGGCCTAATCTTATTTTTTAAAATATATTTTTATTGATTTCAGAGAGAAAGAGAGAAACATCAATGAGGCAGAATCATTGATTGACTGCCTCCTGCATGCCTTCTACCAGGGATCAAGCTGGCAACCCGGGCATGTGCCCTGACCAGGAATCAAACCGTGATCTCCTGTCCTCCCTGGCTGCTTGAAGACCAACCTTCATCATGAATGACACGGTAACTATCCGGACCAGGAAGTTCATGACCAACAGACTACTTCAGGGGAAGCAAATGGTCATTCATGTCCTTCACCCTGGGAAGGCAACAGTACCCAAGACAGAAATCCAGGAAAAACTAGCCAAAATGTATAAGGCCACACCTGATGTCATCTTTGTGTTTGGATTCAGAACCCACTTTGGTGGTGGCAAGACCACTGGCTTTGGCATGATTTATGATTCCTTGGATTACGCAAAGAAAAATGAACCCAAACACAGACTTGCAAGACATGGCCTATATGAGAAGAAGAAGACCTCAAAAAAACAGAGAAAGGAACGCAAGAACAGAATGAAGACAGTCAGGGGGACTGCAAAGGCCAATGTTGGTGCTGGCAAAAAGTGAGCTGGAGATTGAACTACAGAAGGAGTAAAGATTCTTCGGCGACTTTATCTGTGATGGTTGTACAGATTTTTCATGAGAGGATTAATAAACTATAAACTTTAAAAAACCAAAAAAAAACCATGATCTCCTGGTTCATAGGCTGACGTTCAACCGTGAGTCACACTGGCCCGGCAACTGCTTTAATTTTATTTCATTATTCCATTCTCATGCTGAAGGTTTGCAAAGCAACGGAAAGTGCTCTAACTCAGGTAAACAGAGAAAAGTGAAAAGCGAAGACAACCTGGGGAATCTGTGCACACCTCACGTCCCTCTTCCCCTAGCAGGTAAGAGTGCACACACACTGCCTCAAATCAGAATTCCACCAAAGGAAGGCGAGGGTTCTTACCTATCCTTCTGGGTAACTCAAGGCCATGGCCAAGCCGGGGGTTTCCGAGATGAAACACTCATTCCCTCCAAAGAAAACTCTACCAGTCGAGGCTCCAAACCACGACTCACCGATTCACTGGATATAGACCATCAAGCTTGGCTGGTAGCTCCAAATTACATGCAACTCAGTATCTTACTTGCTCCAACCCTCTGCTTCCACACCAGAACCTTGGATACCGGTAGCCAGGTTACAGTCATGCAGTTACTCAACCCATTTCTGCAAGAGGAAATGTCTCTTTACTTGCCACAGGACTGCCAAATAATTAACTCAGCGTCAAAAAGATGGGGGGAGCGGAGTGGAGAGAAACACAGGGATTGAGACTAGTCCAGAATGGAAACATTCCCCCTTTCCAAGCCCCGCACTGTGGGAGCTCCAGCAGAGCATGCTTTGGGCCCTGCCAGCCACAGGCTGCCGGTAATACCTATTCTGTAATAAGCCGGGTGTCGAATATTTCATACATGTCAGAAGAATCCAAGGACATCAGAAACCAACTCAAGCTAAGATATTGCTAAAGTAATTTATAAATTTCAAATTGAACTGAACTACTTAACACATGATCTAAATGTCTTCTGACGGTGTGATCTTTCTAAAATGGCATACTATGGGTATGGTTCCTGAGTTCTCAGCTTAGACTTCAGAGCTACGCACCAGTTACAGCAAAGCCCGTAGTTCAGGATTACTTCTCTTCCCATTCTCCCCATTAAAACAAATGATTAATAAATATTACATAGGAACTGCCTTTGACCATTTTCAGGTGCCATGCACACCCTCTTCTGGTCAGTTAGAAGAAAAACTGATCACTGTCAGAAGAGGAACTTTTAAGTGGTAGAAACGGTCAAAAAATGGGGAAATATTCTGATACAACTGAGGCGTCCTGCCTTTCTTTTTGTGATCACCAAAAGTTAATTTCTTCTCATGATGAACATTAGTGACCCTACTATTTTCTGATAGATGAGTCTGTTCTTTTCTGATTCCCTACGTTTCATTGTGACACAGTGACAAGGTCTGGGGCTACTTTAGAGAGTGGTTAGGTGATGCTCAGAGAGTGAGGCACTCAGTTCAGCCTGGCACATTTCATACCCCCAGAGATGCTCGATGAAGTGGGGAAAGCACTGTTTGGTGTGCACATTCTGTGACACAACAAAGCAGTCAGTAACAGCATGGGCTTTGCCATGGACTGCGTTTGAATCCCAGTTCTACTATTTAACTGTGGGATCTTAGGTAAGATACTTAACGCCTCCATGACTGTTTCATCTAAAAAATGAGAAACAGTATCTCCACTAAGGGCTGTTGTGAGGATTAATGAGTGAATATTGGGAAGGGCTTAGGAGGAGTCTTCTAACACCACGATGGTCACTGGCTGGATGCCTAGGCTCTGCCAACCCAAGTGAAGGTTTTTACAAATGACACCTTTCTGCAGGTTTTACAACTTTCTTTGGCAAACCCATCAGGAAGTGATGAATTTCTTAAGTATCTATTCTGAAATGATAGATTGCATTTCAATAATAATTTTATTAGTTACAGAAGAATCTTCACTAGTATTTACATAGTGCAAAAAAAGCTGTTATTACCCCTAAAATGTGATATAACAATTATCCTTCATATAGCAAAAGAACTAACAACCCTTTTGTTATGATTCATACTAATTTTGCTAGTTTTTAATTAGAGCATTACAATTAAGACATTAAATTATAAATTCATGTGATATCTTTAGAAATTAAATTACAAAACAATACAAATACTTTTAAAGTGTGATGTGCCAACCAAGTTTAAAATTTAAGATGAGGATTCAGATTTCAGATCAGGCAAACAGTTTGGTTGATTCTGTGATGTGTATAAAGGTTGGAAGAGGGAGGGAGAAGATGCCTATAAATAAATTATTTCCCAGAAAAAAATTTTAAGTTAAAAAAAGATAAAGTTTTTAAATGGATAAGTTAATGTTCTAACCTGTTGGCACAACACACAGAAAATACTTAAATGACAGGTTTTTTAAGCAAACAGCAGCTTTACAAACAGTAACACTTATTTATACATGTATTAAAGTAACGATGTGTTGAGATTTAAGTTTTATGTTAAAGAGAAGAAAATGAATGTAGAGTTCACTACTCATTTGCACATTACAATTACCACCCTCCCCACCTCCCCCAGTTTATTAAGAAATCAGACAAGTACATTATTTGGATATTAATTTCTCAATATTTAAACTATGTAAATTCCTTTTGACTAATTCTTTTCCAAATACTGGAAGCATATAAAATACCATCTCTGCAAAAATGACCTCCAGTCAAAGCCTTTAAAAACTTTTCAATGTATAACAGATTATTTTTCCCATGTTTAGTCAAAAGAAATATATTACATCATTTACAAATATATTTAAACCAAAACTTAAGCTAATATGAACATTTGTCTTTTTAGAAGTAATCTTCACAGTAAACAAACCTACTGAAGCAGAAATCTAGTTTTGGGAGTGCAATTCATATTGTAATTCAGATACTTATATATTGAAGTAGAAATCTAATGTTAATTGTTGCCAGTAAAACCACCTCTGTACACTAAGAAAAAAAAAAAATCACTTTTTTATTTCTTGTGATGATAAACCCTTACTCAAGGTCTCCAAAGAGGCACTCACCCCAGATCCATAAAAAACCCACTTCCTTAATTTTCACACCTCCTCCTGTATATAATGTACACATCCCAGAATTTATCTAAAGGAAACAAATTATAAAGACATTATTAATATTTATTTAGCATAAGTTCAACATAACAACATTTCCTTTAATAAATGTGGGCTGTCCGCTAGAGGTGGCCTGTGTCATATAAAAAAGGCTGTGGTCCCTGGGGTTTGCTGGCAGAAGATGCTGCACGTGCAGGAGCGTCTATCAGACAAGGAATTAAACACGTCTAACGTCTACAGCAAAATGAAAAGTTATGAGTGTTCCAAAGATTTCCTCAACCTCTCTTTTGATACAAATGTCAAAAATCTAAAATGAGAATTCTCACTCAGAAGAGATATAAAATATAAGAAACCTTTGAAAAGCCCTTACCATGATCAAGAGTTACTGAATCACTGACACCGAACAAAGGAAATTTACACCATTAAAAAGTATGAAAAGCTTTTAAGTTCGTTTTTAAGATTGTCAGTAGTTCAAAAACTCTATCATTTCTTTAAACCACCTAACACTTCCAAATGTGTAGGGACAGTAAGATCTGCCACATACAAATCCATGATTTTATTTCAGAGGCTTCATTCCTTACATGTTGTGTTCCTTTAAGTACTGGATACTTTGTGCTTAAGGAGTCTATTCTGGAGAAGTTTAGACAGGACAATAGAATAACTTCCCCTTTTAGCACACTAATAAAGTTGACTGACTGACATTTTCTACATAGCAACGCTCTTCAACTTGCACAATTCATAAATACTAAATCATCAATCAAGAATCTGATCTCTCTAGTAATTAAATGCCAGCGTTATAAAACATTAAAACTAGCACAGTAGTCCCAATGAGTTCAGTAAAGAATTGCCCAATTCTCTCCTCCTGCCTCTGTGAGGCAAAGCCCACCCTATAAAACCAGGGCAGGGAAAATACCCCTCCCTCCTTAGTTTTGTGCCTGCTTTTGGGAGCTTGTAAGCGTAAAGATGGGGTGTCTGTGCGCCTGTTGGTCAGTTGGGGGTGGGTTGGAGGGAAGACAGAAAATAGGTAATTTGTAATTCTCCCACCATTACATAAACTTGTCAAGGTCACCATTACCAGGTGGTGACTGACTAGCAAATAAAACATTTAGCTCAGTATTTCTCCCAGCAGGTATACACATTCCTAGAGAAGGGCAGGGATAAATAATAATGATCAAGTATTAATACCTGTGTACAGCTGCATACTCTAAATCATCTGATAATTTCAGCACAATTAGAACAACTTGCTCTTCAAAACTTCCTCTTCCAAGCCTTGATTATCAGGACATACGTACTAAGTAATGTAAAGTTTCTCTCCCTGACCTCTTATCAGTAACTATGGTTAGTGTTACATGGCAAGTGCTTGAGGCTAGAGGCAAAATACATATATTTCAAAAAAGATGAAATGGTTTCTTACTCAGGACAAATTTGGATACCCCATCAAATCCCTATCTCAAAGTTAGAGTCCTGAATCAGAAGCATGCAAAAGAATACACCAGTATAAGACATTGTTTCTGAATCATTACCAATTAAAAGCTGCAGTCATACAATCAGTTATTCAATATCAAAATTTGCCTAACTTTATGTAAATATGAGTATGTACAAAGGCATTCCTGAGGTAAGCAGCAAATCTGAGACAGAACCTGGAAGGTCCTATCATGGGTAACTTTTCACAATTAAATACAACATCTATCATCTTCCTATATGAGGCCAACTCTAATCGTGCCAACCCACATACTGGAGGCTGTGTTAGCCCATCCCAACTTTGATCGGTTATTATGATCAGTGACTTCTGAAAAGAGCATTTGTGGACCAAAAACAGTTGCATCAATTCTTAACACAAAACACTTTGGGAACTAACTTATGCTCAGCTTCTGTTTTTTTTAAGTTTTCTAATTCTCCTGTCTTTTTTGAAGAAGCCCAAATATTTTGGCCAGACAGGTTAGAGTGAAAGAAGGGTAGTCTTGAAGCAAACATTGATAACTGCTCTTATCCTTAAAATCTTGATTTTTAACTTTCCAAATGACTCTCAATAAATACTTTAAATTTATTTTCTTCAAAACTTGTTCTTGTTCTTTTTTAAATCATTATTTTCTATAACAAAATAAGCTGAAACAATTCTGAATTTCCCACAGTTCTTAGAAAGACACTTAGATGCTAATTAAAAGCTAAGCTATAGATCATAACAAAACAAGTAAAAGACAGCTACAAAAATATTTCTGTCAGGAATTAAATACATATATTAAATATTGGACAGTGCAAAATGTTGAGATGAAGCATAAAAGATAATGGCTGTAACCCTTACACGGTTGGAGAGAGAAGCGGACATTTCCTGAGTTAGATGTCTGGGGGTGTATAATTAGAATCGGAGTGCTCGTTGTTCAGAGAGCTGCAGTTGCTGGGCTTCTGCTGCTCCAAGCTTGCTTGGTGGTCAGTAGTCCAGGCCTCACTGTCCATCCCTGGCTCCAGCACCTCAGGCACCTCTGCTTCCTCTTCCCCACTTTGCTCTGCATTGTCTTCCTCAGAACCATTAAGGGTTTTCCCAAGCTGAAGAGTTTCCATTGTTCTCTGGGTCTCAGAGACCCAAGACTCAATTCTACTATTGAGCTGTACTTCTACAGATATGGGTTCATGGGTATAATCCTCCTCCTCCTCCTCTTCTTCATCCTCCTCTTCTTCAAGCATGCCAGGTACAAGAGTGCTGGTGGTGCTGGTGATGGAGGAATTCAAAATATCCCGGCAACTACCATCCAGAGAGCCGGTCTCGGTACTCTGCTGCGAGGCCCATTCCAGGTCATCAGGCTTCACTTCCTCTTTCTCATTCACTGCTGATTTCCCAGGGTTTGCAGCTGAGGTAGTACTGCCTGTGGCCACTAAAGATGGCTGCTTACCAACAGGGGCTGTATCAAATGGAAGTTTACTGGATTTTTCAGATGTGCTGTGTCTACAGGAAACCTCTCTCTCATTTTCTGATGTTTCCAGTCCATCTGAAGTTTCCACCATGTTTCTCCAATTTGTTTCTGCAAATATCAAACAGATTTCTTAAAAACCAGAAGAATGTTTCAGAATTATGCAACCCATAAAAGAGGGAAGAACAAACTACAGAAATTTACTGGCTCACTACCTGATTGGAAAAATGAAAAACTTAGATTGTTCTAGTACTAGTTTAAATGTTATAAAGAGAAAACAATTCTCAAAAATGTGCATTTAAGATAAAAAACAAGGAGGTAAAAATAAGTATATTAATGCTTGAGAATGCAAAAGATCTTATACCAACAGGATCTCACTGATGCTCATATATAATGTTCATGTATTCATGAAAATCAATAAATTGCCCAGCTTTTTTTTGGCCTTGAAGTGTACTAGGCTCAAGAATCCACAAGTCATAGATGGTGGAGCCAAGATGTCCAGTAGAAATAGTTCTGATTTGATTGGTTTTACCATGCTCCCTTAGCAAGTTACCTAAGAGCTGTCTTTTGGCCTATAATGGGATTAGGGTTTCCATTTATAAGCAAAGAAGCCACCCATGTATTTCTAACATGTGTGAAAATCTGTTTTATAATATACATGGCTTGGCTTACCAAGTGACTTTGAGAACCAAAAAAAAAAAAGCATTATTATGTCTAATACAGTGGTGATAAATCTAGATTATTTTTAATGATGTCAGTTTGGAGCTAAAAATATACTAGGAAGATAAAAGGACAGCTCTCCTACCTCTATATTTTCTTTTATTTCCCAGTTTGTATTTTTTCATTTTATCTTTTTATTATTGAAGTATAACTGACATATAACATATTAGTTTCAGGTGTACAACATTACAATTTGATGTTTCTATAGACTGTAAAATGATCACCACAATAAGTCTAGTTAACAACCATCACCGTAAATACTTAAAAAATTGTTTTTCTTGTGATGAGGGCTTATAAATCTCTCTTAGCAACTTTCAAATATGCAATACAGTATTAACTATAGTCACCATGCTATAAATTACATCCCCATGACTTATTTTATACCTGGAAGTCTGTGTCTGTGGACCGCCTTTATTTATACATTTTGCCAACCCTCAATCCACTTCTCTGGCAATCTCCAATCTGTTCTCTGTATCTATGAGCTTGGTGTATTTATTTTTTTAGATTCCACATATAAGTGAGAGCATACAGTATTGATCTTTTTCCGTCTGACTTATTTCACTTAGTATTATGCCCTCAAGGCCCATCTATGTTGTTGCCAATAGCAAGCTTTCATTCCTACATATGGCTGAATATTCCATTGTATAAATATACCACCTCTCCTTTAGTCATTCATCCAACGATGGGTGCTTAGGTTGTTTCCTTATCTTGGCTATGTAAATAACGCTGCAATGAACATGGGGTTGCATATATCTTTTTAAGTTAATGTTTTCATTTTCTTTGGATAATTACCCCAGAAGTGAAATTGCTGGATATGACAGTTCTATCTTTAATATTTTGAAGAACCTCCATACTGTTTTCCATAGTGGCTTTACCAATTTACATTTCCACAAAGAGTACACAAGGATTCCCTTTGCTCTACATCCTCACTGAAATAATTTTTTTTTGTCTTTTTGAAAACAGCCATTCTAACAAGTGTGATCTCTCACTGTGGTTTTGATTTGCATTTTCCTGATGATTAGAGATGTTGAGGATCTTTTCATGCGCTTGCTGACCATCTGTATGGCTTCTTTAGAAAAATATCTATTCAGCTCCTCTACCCATTTTTTCATTGGATTGTGGTAGTTTGTTTTTTTTTTTTACTATTGAGTTGTATGAGTTCTTGATATTTTAAAAATATTAATCCCTTATTAGACATATGATTTGCAAGTATTTTCTCCCATTTAGTACGTGGTTGGTTTCCTTTGTTTTGTCTGCAGATTTTTAGTTTGATGTAGTTCCACTTATTTTTGTGGGTTTCTTAAAAATAAAAATCCCCTTCTATCTGCATTATAGCTGCTATACATTTTAAAGGTATAACAATCAAGCTATAATGATAAAGCAAGACTGTTTATCCTATATAATAAAAGCCTAATATGCTGAGTGTCTGACGGTTTGACTGTTCGACCATTTGACCAGTTGCTATGACATGCACTGACCACCAGGGGGCAGATGCTCCGACTGGTAGGTTATCTTGCTGCTAGGATTCGACTGATCGGGACTGGGCGAGAAGGGCCGGACACGCCCGGGAGCCCTCCTGTGGTCCCTCCCCGGCCCCAATTGTGCACCAGTGGGGTCCCTCGGCCTGGCCTGTGTCCTCTTGCAATCCAAGATCCCTCAGGGTATGTTGGAGAGCTGGTTTCAGCCTGATCCCTGCAGGCAAGGCTGAGGAACCCCACAAGGGCATGAATTCGTGCACCGGGCCTCTAGTATTAATATATTCAACTTGATTGTCACCTATCAACTGTATAATATAGACCATATTTTCAGTACTTGAAATCAGGGTACATGGTTTGGAACATCCTTTTCTGCAGCTCCTTCAAAGTATAAAATAGGTCCTTTCCACTCTCACTCCTACCTCATGAAAAACAACTCCTCCTTCTCCTCTTGTTATAGTCTCATTCTCAGTTAGTAACATTATCTTTTTCATGGTCTCAAAGCAGAAGAAATCTTACAGTAATCCTTCATCCTATCTTTCTCCCTTATGACATGCCTTTATTCCACTGAATTCATAACTGTACCATGTCACTTCTAACTCAAAAACTACTCAACTTGGTCACCATTGCCTCAGCTTACACCTTCTTTACCTAGCTGTATATCTGTAATATCTTCCCAATTGGTTTTGTGAATTGGTCACATCAATGTTTAATGGGCCTTCTACTATCCTGGCAATCCAAACTTCTTAGCTTGCTGTAGCCAAGCCCTTCATGTGTGACCCTTATCTATCTTTCTGGTCCCATTCATTCTAACCCCCAGTCATGCATTCCACCCTCAGGATCACACTGATTTTTCACTGCTCCCAGAAGTCATACTCTATTTGCATACGCTGTTCTTTCTGTATGAGATGTGTTTCCTCCTTTACCTTTCAGATTCCTCCTCCCTCCTCCTTGATAACCATCTAAAATGTCAGATCCTTTGTGAAGCCTTTCCTGACTCTCCTAAGAAAGACAGTCAGTTATAACCTGAATTCCAGCAATACTTTTTGTATATATAGTTCAAAGCACTTGTTTTGTGCTTGCTGTTTACCCCTCCCTCCCTTCTTATTCCCACTCTTGCTCATCTCTGTGTGTCCCTATGGTTGGCATATAGTAAGTGCTGAGGGGGCTAACCCTATTAAATAAAAATTTTCATGTATACATTATGCAAAAACAAACTTTAAAAAGGCATAACATTTTTTAAAAAAATACATTTCATTGATTTTTTACAGAGAGGAAGGGAGAGGGATAGAGAGCCAGAAACGTCGATGAGAGAGAAGCATCGATCAGCTGCCTCCTGCACACCCCCCCCTCTGGGGATGTGCCTGCAACCAAGGTACATGCCCTTGACCAGAATTGAACCCGGGACTCTTCAGTCCCCAGGCCGACGCTCTATCCAGTGAGCCAAACCGGTCAGGGCAAGGCATAACATTTTTTAAAACTTCAATTGCATATTTACATTTCCTTCCAACAATTTTTTTCTCCTTCAAAAGTACTACAAGAATTCACTTGGGGTCTTGGAAAAGTCCTATCTCCCCCATGACAATGAGTCAAGGAATAGGAGAAAGGAAAGAGGTCAGTAGATGGAGCAGAGCTGACCTCTCTGAAGACTTAGTCTTGGGCATTCACCTACTAAGTAGGTGAGCTGAAAGCCACCTTTGAAAAGCAAAGGGAGATAGATCTGGAAGCAGAGACAAGGAACTCTGCAATTAGCCATCAAGTGTCTTGTCACAATGATCAAAGAGCTATTGAGATCACATATCCACAGGGCCTCCCTAGGCTCTCTCCCACTTTAAAGTAATAGGTGAAGGTTGATCAATAACTGATGAGCATACAAACACATGAACACAACAGGGGAAACACAGCAGGTGTAAAAGTGCTGCCAGAAGAGATCTGATTGGGGGATGGTGGTGGGGGAGCGAAGGAGTGCTGAATGCAGGCAATCTAAAGCCAGAACAGAAGAGACAGGCATCCCCTTTTGAAGAAGCAAGTTAAAGGAAGGATCAAAGATCCCAACAAACCTGGAAATAGTACTGACCCAACTCTACCCTGCTTAAAAACTGTTTATTTTAGCAGAACTTATTCAATAAAGTTCTTCTTTGCCTTTTAACCCCTTCTATGCTTTTCTGTTTCTGTTTACTGGTTCTTTGTGAAATTATCTTTTTAAACACTTTCAAGTCACTAGTGGGTTTGTCAGAGGATAAAGTGTGTGTTATTTATCCCTTCAGTCAGCACACACAAGGAAGCTGTCTGTCTGATATAGATTTTTACAGTAGAGGAACAAACAAATGAATTCAAGAGCCTACAGAGGAAGAGGTGGTGGCAGAGGATGAGCAAGAAACTCAGGAGGGATGGACTAGACATTGAGGTTGTCCTCCCTCATAACTGCTTGCTGAACACTTACTGTTTGGTCCTACTGAGAATTCATTCAACAGGCAGGACATATACATCACAGTGGCTAATAGTACAGGTTCCAGAGCAAGACTTACTTTAACAAGTTATTTATCTCTCTTTGTCTTAGCTTCCTCATCTATAAATTGCAATGCAGCCCTAGCCAGTGTGGCTCAGTTGGTTGGAGCATTGTTCTACACCAAAAGGTGGCAGGTCCAATACCTAGTCAGGGCACATACCCAGGTTTTGGGTTCGATCCCTGGTCAGAGCGTATGCAGGAGGCAGCGGATTGATGTTTCTTTCACCTTGATATTTCTGTTTCTCTATATATATACTTTCCCTTCCTGTCTCTTAAAAATAAAATAAAAATAAAAAATCCCAGGACAGTATTTCTTATCTCACAGGGTTGTTCAGAGGATTAAATACCTTAATGAATGGAAAGTGCTGACAAAATGCCTAGCATATAGTGAGAATTCAGTAAGTGAGTTATATATCAACTGCCCATTATGTACCAGGTCCCCATTCTCAAAAAACTTACATCTTAGTTGGGATTTATGTCTGAAACTATTTGTTTCATGTAAGTATGATAGAATTGACACTCAGCTCAGGTGGAAGAAAAACATAAGCAAGGAAAATAAGGTGTGCACAAAGGACACTAAGACTGGACTATCACAGAAGCCTTTCTATTCTACCAAGTGATTAGTATCCTTTCCCATATTTGTTTTTACTTTAAACCATGGAAATCAAAAGAAAACATTTTAGAAATATTGCACCAGGATAACATGGAAGATTCTGTTTTCTACCCAACAGTCATTAGCCATTCTGGTTAACAGAACTAAATTTGAGAAGTACTTGAACCCATTCCCAGGGGATGAATTAAAATAGTTTTTATACCATCAGTTATCCCATTCCCCTTTGCCAAATATTCTCTTGCCCAAGTCTCCCTTTCATGCAGCTAAAAGTAATCACATGATCAGCTCTAGCCAAATAAAACAAAAGGGGAAGTCTTCTGAAAATCTTTCTTCGCTGATAAAAGGAGCACACTGACTGAACCTCCTGCTTTTGACTACAGCTATGACGCCTAGAGCCACAGCAGCTATTTTTAAACAAGAGATGATAAGCATAAGAGGAAGCCACAGACTGAGAATGAAAGAACAGAAGGAGGGGAAGAGCTAGGACAGTGATGACACTGTGAAATAATCAAATATCCTAACTTCTTAGGCCACATTAGTGGGTTTTGTGTTTGTTGCTGATGCTTCCGAAACAGAGAGAATACTTTATGCTTTGCTCTCAAAGTTGTTATGATTACTTTCACTTAACTTTAACCAGTTAACTGCTATGTGTCCAAAACAGAAACCATCCCCACATGCCACAATATTTTGAATTTAATTTAAAAAATCAATTTGCAGTGCATATTATAAAAATAAATATATTACTCACAATCTGGGTGTTCTTGAATATTTTCAGTTGAAAATTCTCACAAAAAAATGATTTTAAAGCATTATAGATGTCTATGGCGTACAAAGGGGTAAGGCTCTAAATCTATTCTTGGGATTCAACCATTAGTTCACAAAATTTTCACTTGGAATGGAATTTTATAGATGATCAGATAAAACCCTCCTCATTTTACTGAAAATAAATCTCTAAGGCCTAGAAATCAATCAATTGTGCCTAAATCCCCTAGGCAGAGAGTGAAAAAGCCAAAGTTTCCATCATTAAACACCTTAAATTATGCACCCAAATGAAGATTACTGTTGTTTGCCCAGACCCACAGCTTGATGAATTTATCTTGCAGTTTGCCTTTGAGATCTGGCGTATGACTATATAGTGACCTCATTTTAACTGTTGGCATTTATCTTCTTTATTTTTAACTAAAAATTTGTGCACTGGGGGGTGGGGGGGTGGGGGGGGGTGTCCCTCAGCCCAGCCTGTGCCCTCTCGCAGTCTGGGACCCCTAGGGAGATAACGACCTGCTGGCTTAGGTCTGCTCCCGGGTGGCAGAGGGCAGGCCCAATCCCTAGGTGCAGCCCCTGGTCGGGCTCAGAGCAGGTCTGATTGGGGAGTTGGGGCACTGCCCTCTGTCATGCACAGAGCAGGGTGGATCGGGAGGTTGTGATGCCACCCTCAGTCACGCTCAGGGTAGGGCCAATTGGGGGGTTGGGGCACCGCCCCGTCATACTCAAGGCAGGGTCGATGGGGAGGTTGCGGCACCATCCCCTGTCACGCACAGAGCAGGGCCAATAAGGGGGGTTGGGGCCAAGTTGAAGGAGATGGCTATACTATTTAAAAAAAAAGAATAGGTGAAAAAAGTCAGAAACTAGATCAAGAAAGTAGAAAATTTAAGTGTTCAAAATGTGATAGAACTCAGTATTACAGTCCAAAGGCAAGGAAACTACTAAGATGTAGAGTACAGTAAATAATATGACTTTAAACATCACACATAAATGTTTTTTTAGTCTCTATATCTTTTTGACTGCAATAAGATTTAACTCAAAACAAATGCCATTTGGCTAGGTTTTATAACATTAGACTGAATAGTTAGTATTCCGGTCTCTTGTTTACTTAGTAAATATAACATTTTAATAAATGAGCATAAAGTAATAGAATAACACATCCCAGAATTTACTAAGTTATAGGTCACAAGTAAGGTGCATTTTGCTTTTAAAATCCTTTTAGTATTTTTCTTTTTTAAGACTATGGAAAATGACTAAATTTCAGGGACTCACGGAAAGCATCAGCCCCAAATTGTCTCCAAATTTTTAAATTTATTTTTATTGATTTCAGAGAGGAAAGAAGAGGGAGAGAGATAGAAACATCAATGATCAGAAAGAATCATTGATCAGCTGCCGCCTGCATGCCTCCTAATGGGGACTGAGCCCACAACTCGGGCAGGTGCCCTGACTGGGATTTGAACTGTGACCTCCTGGTTCATAGTATGACACTCCACCACACCAGCAGGGCAGTCTCCTAGTTTTTAATGGCTGTGTTTACTGTGATCTTTTTAAGCCAAAATTTTAAGCAAAATTTGAATAATCAAGAAGATAAAAACAAAGATAGCATAGAAAATCATTTTCCAATTATCTTAATCAAAAAATAATTTCAAAATTTAAGTCATGTTAAGCTAGTCAGAGAAAGATAAGTATCACATGATCTCACTCATATGTGGAACGAACAAAATAAAGTGATGAACAAAATAGATCCAGAGACACAGAAGCATGGACTGCGGAATCTCAGAGGGAAGGTGGGTGGAGGGGGTGTGGGGTAGAGAAGGTCAATTGGGGGGGTGAGGAGACATCTGTAATACTTTCAACAACAAAGGATAAATTAAAAAAAATTTTAAGTCATTTTTAATGATATGCAACAACTTACCATATTCCTTTTCATTTACTTCAGAGATGGGCTCAGAAATAACACTGCAGAAGGAAATGGCGCTTGCTGCTGAGGGATTCCGGGAATGCCCCATGTGGTGTGGCACCTTCTTCACGTTCTTTAAGGCTTCCTCCGCCTGCTCTTGCTCCATTGCTGCAACCATATCCTTATAGGCTTTCCTGGCTTCCTCAGTGAGTTCTACTAACTTATTAAATAGGCTCTAAAAAGAAAGAGATTTTGACTAGTCCATTTTTTTTGTTATACTTTCTATTCCTATTACTAACAATAAATCTCCACTGTTTCAAAGTCAGATCCACTTTCAATCAGTATGCCAACCAGAGGACCTTAAAAAACACTTTGTAACTTACATATATTTGTTTATTTAATTGTCACAAGACTGAGGAAATTTCCTGATTCAATACTAGTCACTACATGTGATATATTAAAAATTCTTGTAGAGTTTATCAATCAACAGCTGCACGCTTTAGCACCTGGCACTATAGTGGGTACAAAGACCAATGGAACACCACTCTGATCTCAAGAAACCTTCCATGTGGCTAGAAGGAGAAAACAGAAGACAGCTATGATTCAAGGCAAAATATTATAACTGCCTTAACATGTACAAAGTGTTCTGGCCTTTGGAGAAAATATCAAATCTAACTGTTGGGCATCAGTGAAAAATTCACGAAGTAATGATGTGTGATATAAGTCTTGAAAAATATGCCTAGGTAAAATTTTGAGAGATGGAGAGAGTGCATTCTTACTCATGCAGGTAAAATCTAATCTAATAAAAAAGAAACATGCAAATTGACTACACCTCCACTATGCCCCAAGCCATGCCCACCAGCCAATCAGAGCGACTATATGCAAATAAACCCAACCAAGATGGCGGCCAGCAGCCATGGAGCTGGAGCAAGCAGGAGGCTTGGTTGCCCCGGCGATGGAGGAAGCCAAGTTTCCCGCCTGCCCTGGCCGGCTGTGGCCTCCGCTCAAGGCAACAAAGTTTTAATTATAGAAGATAAATAAATCCCAGATACTGCTTCCAGCCAGCCTCCACTGGGAGCTTGGGTGGCTGGGGGCCATGGCCAGCCTGCAAACAGCCCTCAGCCCCTCACTCAGACTGGCAAGGCACCCCAGCAGGACCCCCTACCCTGAAGGGGTGTGGCCAGCCTGCAAATGGCCCTCAGCCCCTCATCCAGGCTGGCAAGGCACCCCAGTGGGGACCCCCACCCTGATCCGGGACACCCTTCAGGGCAAACCAGCTGGCCCCCACCCACGCACCAGGCCTCTATCCTATATAGTAAAAGGGTATTATATATGCAAATTGACCCTAACAGCAGAACGACTGGGAATGACTGGTCACTATGACACACACTGACCACCAGGGGGCAGACGCTCAATGCAAGAGCTGCCCCCTGGTGGTCAGTGCACTCCCATAGGGGGAGCTCTGCTCAGTCACAAGCCAGGCTGACAGCTGCCAGTACAGCGGTGGCGGTGGGAGCCTCTCCCGCCTCCTCAGCAGCGCTAAGGATGTCCGACTGCAGCTTAGGCCTGCTCTCCGCTGACAAGTGGACATCCCCCGAGGGCTCCCAGGCTGCCAGAGGGATGTCTGACTGCCAGCTTAGGCCCGGTCCCCTGGGGAGTGGGCCTAAGCCAGCAGGTGGTCATCCCCCGAGGGGTCCCAGACTGCGAGAGGACACAGGCCAGGCTGAGGGATCACCCCCCCCCCCCGAGTGCACAAATTTTTGTGCACCGGGCCTCTAGTAATGAATAAAGATACATAGAAAAGTACAAGGAATGGCCCAGTCAGCTCAGTGGTTGAGCGTCAACCTGTGAACCAGGAGGTCACTGTTCAATTCCCATCAGGGCACATGCATATTTTTTTTTAAAAAAGAATGAAACCATTAAAAAAAAAAAAGAAAAGTGCAAGGAATGGCCCTGGCCAGAGCAGCTCAGTTGGTTGGAGTGTTGTCCTGTACACCAAAAGGTGGTGTGTTCGATTCTTGGTCAGGGCACATACCCAGGTTGTGAGTTAGGGTATGTATAGGAAGCAACCGATCAATGTTTCTCTCTTACTCTAAGATAGATAGACATATATATATATCCTGAAAGTAGAATGTGGAGCTAAATAACCAGAAGTTCTCCTGTCAGTGAAACAGAAAAGAACATGAATGGAATTAATAATTAGAGTGAAACAGTAGGTGACAGAGCATGCTCCTGTTAAAAAAAAATGGCAAAACTCACATAAGCATTAAAGTTGTACTTCAATAATCATGAAGTCCAATAATGTCCAAAAGAAAAATGAAGTTTCCACAGCTACCAGAAAGACAATTACTTTTAGTAGTTCTTACATCATAATTCAGTAAGTTTCTACTCTGTTTAATGTCTTGATTTAGTATCACAAGACACCCCCCCACACAGCAAAATTTTTTCCTAAGTTATTATCATTTAAGTATAAACCATAACAAAATGAAAGAAAGCATAGCAAAAGCATCATATTGTTATGAAATAATATATCTTTGAAAATTAAATGTGTGAAAGATAAACATAAGTAGCATGCTTCACCCAGCTGACGTTTAAACTGTTTAAAGTAGCAGGTACAATAAACGCTGTTGCTGTGTTGATTTTTTTTTTTTAAAGAGAAGAAGAGACCAGATCATGGAAAGTGTTTTTTGTACTTATTTGTTTTGTTTTTTATTTGGGGTTTTTAAAGAAATTTTTTTAAACAAAATTTTTATTGATTTCAGAGAGGAAGGGAGAGGGAGAGATAGAAACATCAATGATGAGAGAGAATCACTGATCAGCTGCCTCCTGCATGTCCCCTACTGGGGATCGAGCCTGTAACCCGGGCATGTGCCCTTGACCAGAATTGAACCCAGGACCCTTCAGTCTACAGGCTGATGCTCTATCCACTGAGCCAAACCAGCGAGGGCTATATTGATTTTTTAAGAGGGTGGGTGCTAATTACTAATAATATGAAAAATATATTCAGGGTTTATTTATTCTATAAAAGGAGGGAGGATGTATTACTAAAAACAGCCCCTACGTGTTACATAAATATTTGTTTGCAATGTTTAACAAATCAGACTTCATAAATATTTGTTTGCAATGTTTAACAAATCATGCATTTAAGTGAAGCCACCAAAAAGAAAATAGGCACATGGATATGTGATTTTGAGATTAACACTGGTTTCAAATATAAATAAAACATAAACATTGTTGGGAATAAAAGAAAATAAAATTAAAGCGAAAAGCTATCAGGGAATAAAGGCCTTGAATGTCAGTGTAAGGACATGAAGCTTAATTCAAAGGTTAGTTTTATCAGATGGTAAGAATAACTTCAGTGTGCTACATTACTGTGAATGGATACACCGGATAATATATCAATATTCCCTTTATCTCCATATTAAAGTTGTCTTGGTTTAAACAATAAGTCACCTCCCTCAAAACAGCTGATGGCAAGTAAAGCAATGTACAAACAAAACTGGCAAGCATTTTGTAATATAAAACCATACAAATAACCTAATATTCAGTAATACACCAATATAATTAGAAATAAACATGTAAACTTTTCCTGACCTTGATCCCAGTATGTTTTTATCAGGTGGCTTTATATATGACCCTTCTTTTCCATTTATTACCTAAATGTTCACATATCACTTAACATAGCAGGCAGATATACTTTACCACACAATTTTTAAACAAGCATTTATTGCCTACTCATGCTCAGGTAATGTGAAAGGTGCCAGGGATACCTAGATAAGAAGCCTGCCCTCAAGGAATTCACAGTTAAGGGGGAAAACACATGAACTAGAGCAAGGCAGTGTGACATCTGTAACTGAGAAAAGCAAGGGCTACTGTGGAAGCATAAATATTAATTATATAATCAGAGAGTAGGTGGGTAGACAGGTGACAGGAGAGAAACAGAATGAATGGGTAAATGGAGGTATGCAAACATGGTGGCTGGATAGGAAAGGATAGACATTTAAATATATAGATAGTCAGGAAGAGGGAAAACGGTCCATCGGTGGTGTCGCAAAATACTTTAGAATCATTCTTAAAACATTCTTAAAACATTGTATATTAATAAGCATTACTCTAAATAGACTTTATGTTATCAGCTCTGATGGGTTAAGCTTTGTATTAGCTGACTTCGAGAGGAAGATGAAGGTATCAGAGATACAGAAGTATTCTGACAACTGGTTTAGAAATTTCTTTTTCTAAAGTAACATCCTCTCCAATTAAAGGATTCTTTTCTCTCTACTCTGAGTAGCAGCACAAAATATACCCAACATATATATTGAAGAAAATTATTTTACATAGTATAATATTGGATAATCTTTACCCAGCAGTTAAATAAATGATCAAGTATTACATAGTTGAACCCAGAAGAAAAAAACACTGTGGCAGAAATAGCTAAAAATCTTTTCAAAAAATGCTGTAGAATTAAGTTATGTAAGGGTTTCAACACTAAAAAAGGAAATGTAATACTCAAGAATGTTCCACTCTTTCTTGGAGAGTTATCATCTCACTTCTCCAAATGCTTAAACATAACATTGGCATGTGTCAACTGGGCAGGCAGAGTGAAAGAGGGTGTGTCTTCCAGAGTCTTACCTCGGCACCAAAGTAGTTGAAGATTCCCACTACACTAACAGGAACCAGCTTGTTCACACAGCGTCCCAGAGCTTTTCTTCCAAGGGCAAACACAAAAGGAATTTCCTGTTCCCGTGCCATGGCTATGACATTATAGAGAGCCTCATCCAGGCCACCTGAGAAAGTCAACACATCCAGAGGTTTCAGATTAATTAATTATTTTAGAAATAGCTATTTTCGCACCCAACATTAAAGCATAAAACACAACAGCAAAGAACTCTATGAAGCCTGTGGCACTTATGCTATTCCACACATTCTCCCTATTTGAATTTGTACTATTTATGGATATATGTACATATTTTCTTTCTCCCCAATTAAATTCCAAATTCCCTAGTACCCATAGGAATCAGCATATCAGGAGTCAAATTTCAATACAATAAACATTTGTTTAAAAGAAATTAACTAAAATTGTTAATAGTGGTTGATTCTTTTATTTAATCCCTCAGCTCAAATAGCAACCTATCACATATAATATTATATGTTACTGTTTTTATTGGAATTTGTCCCCTATGCAGAACATGCCTGATACTGCTACTTGATGCATCTGTTTACTCCAATCACCCAAAGTGGCTACTTTATGAAAAAAGTACAAATAAGGGTACATGACATAGTACAGAATACTTGTCTGCCGGCTCACCCAAGAACCTCTGTATTAACTGCTGGTTTCTAAGGGGCAAATCTCCATCATAAGCAAGACAAAAGGGCCATCAATGAAAGGTAAGGTAAAAAGGTAAAAAAGTAGAGTATATTTGCAGTGGTAAAGAAATGTACTCTTACTAGTCCCCATTCTGATTATAACAGATGGCACACTTAGTTGGCCCAAAGTAAAGCCTTCACTAGTACTCCATAGATGGGGATTTCCTTTACAATCCAATCTCAATTTTATTACTTAATTTCAGGTACTGAAAGATATTTTCTTTCCTCACATTCAATATATGCTTTATAACTAACCTCTGCTAAGTCATATGACTTCCACTTTAAAATTCACTGTACATCCTACAATTATATTAAATAAATATCAACATACTTCAAAAGTAAAATGTTCATACCTTTTGACTGGATTTTTTCACAGTTTGGAGAAATTATAACACACTTGATCTTGTTTAACTTCATATGTTTGGTAACCTCCCTCAGACCCATAACCAGCCGTCTCCTCGCTTTTGCTCTTACAGGATCTTTTTGATAGATGCGTTCCTGGAAACTGACAAGCTCTTGAAGAAGAAGAGTCACACATTCATCAATCTCTTTACAAAGAACCTGATTACAATACCTATAAAGGAAACCAAAAATAAGTAAGTTTGTCCTCATTTATTTTTCTGTAACTATAAAATTACTTTAGGAAAGAAATAGATCAAGCAAGAAGTTTTCATAAAAAAAGTAAAATTTTTAAAATACCTTATCCTTCAGTCAATTAGAAAAACAGAAGAGTTTTCCTGAATTACAGGAGATTGGCTTTTACGTAAAGGATAGATCAACCTCAAGGAGGTACTACCCAAATTCCCAATTATTAAATTCCTAAGGATATAAATAAAATGTTAGCCTGCTAATTAGATAAAAAAGAAATATAATGTTTTTGGTAAGGCGATAGAAGGTTATTTCATTCCAATGAATATTAAAGATGCTTCTAGTAAGTAGGAAAGAAATATAACTGCAGATGCTTAATGAATGCCCTAATACCAATAATTCATCCTTTACTCTTGGATAAGTCACAATATCTAGGCATTGTTTTCCCTTAACCATAAAATTACAGAGTTAACTAAGATGACTTAAATGGTCCTTCTAACTCCAAAAACTATGGCTATGGAGAATAACTCAGTAATTAAATTCAAACCAAAACATATCAGGCAAAGCAACTGAATGAGGTTCTTTGTAGTATATATGGTAACAATACAAGATAATAATAATCCGATATAATAAAAGGCTAATATGCAAATTGACCAAACAGTGGAATGACGGTCATTATGACACACACTGACCACCAAGAGGCAGATGCTCAACACAGGAGCTGTCCCCTGGTGGTCAGCGTGCTCCCACAGGGGGAGTGCCGCTCAGCCAGAAGCCAGGCTCACAGAGCAATGGTGGCAGGAGCCTCTCCCACCTCTGCAGCAGCACTAAGTATGTCCGACTGCCAGCTTAGGCCCACAGGGAGCAGGCCTAATCTGTCAGTTGGACATCCCCCAAGGGCTCCCGGACTGCGAGAGGGCACAGGCCGGCTGAGGGACCCCCTGAATGCATGAATTTCATGCACCGGGCCTTTAGTAGTAGTAGTAGTAGTAGTAATAATAATAATAAAGATAATGATGATGGAAATAAGTGTGAGGCCACTATAGTACTTAATTTTAGGAATTATTTCCTCTTAATATACTCTACTTTTCAAGTTCTAATCCCTAATCTTTTTCATAAGCAAAGTTCTACTTCTAATTACATTATAGAGTGGAAAAATCTACGCCTGCCCTTTTTCAGTAAAAAAAAAAAAAAGAAGTTCTGCTTTGGGAATTTTTTTTATGTTTATGTAAAAAATGTTTAAATAAGTACAAGTATGGCATTCTTCAGAAGGGAAGATAAAACTGGATAGACTGAGGAAAGATCAACTATCTTAAAGTATGCAAAATTAAAGAACAGAACATCAAAAATGCAATTTTCTTCATTCTGTTTTTCTTTTAAGATGTTTATTTTGTATGTATACAGCATTTTATGTTCCGAGAGTTTCCTTTGCTTCACATTTGTTGTTGAATATTAAATTAACTCCCCAAATCTAGGCAAGAAGTACTCGCTCAAAAGAATAGTATAAAGAAAAGGAACAAACAAACCAATGTGGTTTGGATTCACACAGATTTTACTTTCACCCTGGGCCTTGTTCATTGTCATTTTTAAAGGCAAAATTAATTTATCTGCACAAATGCAAAAAATTAATTCATCTACCGGCTGCCTCCTGCATGCCCCATTTTAGAATGTTAAAATTCTAAAATCCTTCATAGCAGTAACTGCTAGTTCAAGGTTATTCACAAATGGCCAATTTAAAACTTAGAAATATTTGTTCAAAATTAAACAGCTTTATGTAATAGGTTCACATAATGTAATAGGGTCTTAGAATCTTGGGATTAATTGGTTAGAGAGGGTTTTTTTGAAGGGTCAATAATATAAAAATTAAAAAGCAAAAGCACTCGGAGTGGGAAACCTCATAGTACATAAACTATTCAAACTCAGTAATTTACTGAGACTAAAACTTACTCTCTGAATCTTTTGCTGTGGATTTTGGTTATTGTTGAAGACGCCATTGGGCTGCCTATCCCAGAACTAGCTGGAGAGCCTTGTGACACAGGTGTCATACAGTACGGAGAGTTCTGACTTGCTGGAGAGAGTGAAGTATCACTGGGCATGCTCAGTCCAGTATCTGCAGAGATGTGGGGTGAGAATAAAGAATTTAGAAACTTCAAATACTGAAAATTCAGCTCTATATTAAAATCAATACAATCAATACAATTTAGAATGGCAGTTGTCTTTTGCATCACTTCCAAATTCCAGAAGCTAACAAATTGGACACTGTTCATATCACAAATAAACATTTCTCATACATACAAAAATGAAGTCTTCCTACTATCTCTCAAAATATACTAACACCCCCCCCCCCAAAAAAAAAAAAAAATTCAAGCATGGCCCACAGGTCTCCTCAGAAGAGATGAGAGAAGACCAAATGACCTAAAACATGTAAAGGTATTAACTTCTATACCAGAAGATCACATTACTCATGTCCTTCATCTCTATTTTCCTTCCTATTTCTTGGAAATCATTTTAAAAACTGTATACAAATTCCTATCACTGCTGCCAATGATGATTCTACTTCATTCATTCTCTCCACACCACTCCTGATTCTCAGGCACCACCCTAGATTCTCTCTCATTTGGTCTTTGTGTCTGTGCTCAGGCAGCCACATTTTTATTTATTTTTTTAAAATATTTTTTTATTGATTTTTAGAGAGAAAGGGAGAGAGAGAAACATCCATATGAAATAGAAACATCTACCAGCTGCCTCTTGCATCCCCCTAACTGCGATTGAGCCCACAACCTGAGCATGTGCCCTGACCAGGAATTGAACCGACAACCTTTTGGTGCACGGGATGACATTCAATCAACTGTCCAGAACAGGCAGCCGCATTTTTAGATGCCATCTAACTCAAATGCCTCCTTAGGTTACTGCTTCTTTCCTAAACACCTAAACTCAGGAAATGAGTTAGTATTTGTACATTCATCCATTAATTAGCAATTATACATATAGCTTCTTATCTCCATATACAATAAGCAAGACCAGTCCACTATATATCTTTATTACATTTCCTGACCTTCTCATCCTCACCCTAGTTACTAAAGTATATATGATAGGTATTTAACATGGGATAAATGTACCTAAATACAAAGGCAATGATACTTGAGAGTAAAGGGAAATCATAACCAAATATGTCCTAACTAAATAATCCTTAGAAGTAAATTCATTTTTCTAAACACAATGGAACACTGCTACTTAATCTATAAATAAATTAGATTTAAATTTGGTGAAAAATATTGAGGAATAAATATATACCAGCAGAAAAAGGGACCTTGCCAGGTCTCTCTTAAAATCTTTCTTCCACAGTAGTATAATTTTAGAAGGAATCTATAGATTTGCCAAGGTCCCAACTGGAATCATATGCACTGGCTACTGTATGGACTAAATCTTAGTGACCAACTGGACTGTGTATTATGACAGGCTGTGCATTCTCTACTCATTGTGGCATATGCATTAATTCATGACAGCAAGAAAGAGAATTAAAAAAAACAATTCACTTAAAAATAGTCCTATGAAGAAAGAGAGCCAACAGTGTTCCAGATATAAAAGAAGACAAAATGAAAAGAACTATGACAGTTATAGAGGACACAATGGCGAGATCATAATTATGAAGGGTTTATAATAAACTCAGGATTTATGTCTCAAAAATGCCAAAGACCTGCCATATACTACTACTCCCCTCCTTTTAAATATCTCCCTATAGAAGCATCTTCAAAAGAAACCACTCTCAAAAATAAAGAAATTTAGATAAAATATAAAGGAAAATAATATGGTAATTAGTGATGGCTTACCTATCAATTAAAATGCTCTAAACCAATCCATGAAAAGACAGGGGAAAGGAGTGATCTTACCTTCCTGGGAAACAATCTCCTGTGGCAAATCATCAATAAAATCTAAGTGCATTTCTATTGGTTCCTCAGATCCCAAAAGATTGTGGTCCACAGTTAAACGGCCCTTCTTTTCCTCTCTTTCTTTCAAAATAACCTAAAAGTCATTACCAGTCTTTCATTACTGATCACTCTTTAAGAATGTACTGAATATAAAATCTTCACCATTACAAAGGTACAGTAGTTTACTTAAACATGGACATGAGGGTTTTTGGTTTAGTTGGCTACATAGAAACTGACTGACAAAAAGGAAAATGTAGTTTCAGGTACCATAGCTGAAGGAGGGCCTAGATCCAAAATAAAGGGAGGAAACTGTGCTCGGTACTATATATCTGTACTACACCTATCTAGCCACACCTACTTCAGTCTTTAAACCCTGGGTGGCAGCACCTAGCATTACCCTGAAAATGGATAAAATTAAAAGTTTGGAAACCAGGTCATAAAGTTACAACAGATTTACATTTTGCAGTTTTCAATTATTTGGATATGGATTATCTCCTCCTAGTATCAACACTGAGTTAAATAGAGCAGTGCTATTATTTAACACGTATAAAGAAGATGAGGTAAGGTTTGCCTAAAACTACATGATACCACTTAAGTATTAGAATCCAGAACTTCTAATTCCTTGGGTCCAATGTTTTAGGATGCTAAATGTTTAACTTTAAAAAAAAATCTGGGAGAAAGAATTCACTCTTCAGGGCCCTGTTCAATACAGACAGATAGCCATGATGCTATGCTGATGATATAGTCCCAACCTCGAATTAACTAGTCATCACCTTTATGATGATGCCTATCAACATTTCATAATAATCTGTTGGCTAAAATGCCACACTACTGATTGCAAAACAGATGTAAATTCTTATTTATCCTCTAAAATAAATATCTCAGATTTTGGTTTACCTTTTTAAGTGCTGTGGGCCGTTTTAGTTTTACAATTTCCTTCTCTTTTCCTTTTTTTGCTTTAGAGGAAGTAATGTCCAAAGAATTAAAGGATGTCAAACAGGGCTGACTTTTGGTTAAAGGTTTTCTGTTAGTAGAATCTTTAGTGTGAAAAGAAGCTGCAGTGACCACTAAAAACAAACAAGAACATTAGTTTTACTACTACAGCCAAGTCCACATAGTTTGAAATTTTCTAATGGTAAATCTACAAAAACAAGAACATCCTCTTCTTGTGGAAAAACAGACATCAAATTATCAGAGCAGCACATAGCCATGTAGCATCGCTCAGATACAGCTTTTATCCATTTTTTCAACCTCTATAAGATAAAGACAAAGCAGGTGCAGACAACTAATTAGGCAAATCTGAAGTAGGGATATTTAAGTTATTAGTTCTACTCTACTTCAGCAACCCTCAAGCATGTCAATTTCTGCAACTGGTCTCCAAACCGAATCATTCTATCTCTGACATTTCAGAACTCTGCACCTCCCCTTATTCTCACTAAATCTGTGTCATATATGAGAGTCACACTTACATGTAGTCTAGCCCTCATTTCAGTCCGTCAGTAAAGAATGATCTCCCTCCAGCTGCATTCTCAGTACTATTCAGCAATTCTTTTCTGCCTGACTGATACCTTCATTCTCCTGTGGCTATCCCCAAATCCTTTACCAGTCTTAAACTTTAATCTCAATCCTCTCACTCTATCCGACACTTTCTTGAAACTGCTATTGTCAAGATCACATATAATCTTGCCACTACCAAATCTAATTCTCTTGAGTCTTCATTCTTTTTTTGTTCCTTTCAGCATTTGGTACCAAAGACCACATCCTTTTCCCCCCAAATTCTAACTCTGACTTCTGTAACTTAACACTCTCCTATTTTCTTATTCTTTCTTAAACCTATTCTCTGGTTCTTTTTCCTTTTGTCCTTTAAACCTGAGCATTCCAATAGCTTTATCCCTGAAGATCTTTTTTTCTAACTTTTCTTTCCCTGACAATCTTATGTATTTCCATCGCTACATTTCTATTTAAAACTCCCTGACTTCTAACATGCATACATAACTGTAAGTTAAGTGGGAATCACCAGGATCTCCCCAACTAGCACTTCAAATACAACAAGCCCAGAGTCTGTTCTTCCCCACAAAATTCTTCTTTCATGATCCTTATTTTGTTAGGTTTCATTACAGCCCTTATCACCAAAATCCTTGAGGCCAGAGAGTTTGCAGTCATTTTGACATGCTTCTGTATTTCATCAGTAAAAAACAAACTAACCTATCAATTCCTTACAAGCCTTTCAAATCTCTATCATCATCTACCTTTTTTTGGATTTTCCTAGAAAACTGATTTCTTTGTAATCAACACTTCCCAATGTAAACACTTGGAACAGATTAGAGGTTAATCTCTATCTACCGGTGAAGACTCCTACTCCCCCTTCAAAGCCCAGTCCAAATGCTATTATATATGAAGTCATATAATGGAATATCCTCCCCATACCTCCCTGTGGACATAAATTTCTTTTTTAAAAGTTCATAAAACTTTGCTGGTATCTTCCCTAAGAAGCTATTTTCATTAGTTATTTGTGTATGTCTTTCTCCTTGATTAGAATATAAATGTCTTTCCACTGATGTATCTTTCCATAGCTATATCCAGAGCACTGCTAAAAGTTCAGTTCCATTCCCTATAGTCCTTTACTCTTAGTGAGATGTTACTGACACTCTCCCCATCTCAACAACATGCCACTCTAAAGCTTAGCATGCATTCAATATTATTTTTACTAACTAGAGGCCTGGTATACGAAAATAGTGCACTTGGGGGGCAGTCCCTCAGCCTGGCCTGCACCCTCTCACAGTCTGGGAGCCCTCAGGGAATGTCTAGCTGACGGCTTAGGCCCACTTCCCACCTAAGGGGAGCAGGCCTAAGCTGGCTGGCCACCGCCACTGCACTCGCCAGCTGTGAGTCCGGCTTCTGGCTGAGCAGTGCTCCCCCTGTGGGAGTGCACTGACCACCAGGGGGCAGCTCCTGCATTGAGCGTCTGCCCCCTGGTGGTCAGTGCACATCATAGTGACCGGTCATTCTGCCGTTTGGTCTATTTGCACATTAGCCTTTTATTATTTGGATAGTTAAGTTCCAAACTGGATGGGTTACTAACGATCAAGTTAAATATTTAGCAAACAGAATTAAAGTTATATACCGGTACTTATTTTTTCATTTAAAAACATGAGATCCTTCACAAAGAAACAGAAAATTTAATTCTGCCACTCAACATCAGTGCTTCTGATTGGTTCCTTTACCTTCCCTTTATCTTATTCATCTTCTAAAACAAAGACTATGAAAAGAAATGAGGAACGTCTGGGAATAGGTCAATGGGGAAAACGGGGAGGAGGGGGAGGGGGAGGAGGGGGAGGGGGAGGAGGAGAAATAATAATAATAATGAGGAAGCACAGAGCTGCTGAGTTCTAAATTTGACAAGGTTTGCTGAAATATAAGTTACCCTTTCAGTAGAAAGCCAGGTCATTCATTCTCTCTCTCTCTCTCTCTCTCTCTCTCTCTCTCTCTCTCTCACACACACACACACACACACACACACACACACACACACACTTTAATAAAAACTTCAGTTTCCCATTTGGTTTTAAATTGGATAATTTAACAGAGAGCCAAATTACTATTGATTCTTCTTTTAACCTTTAAAGAAGAAAAACATTGGGTTGGTTCAAAATGTACACCACCTGATATCTGAACACAGACTTGAAGGACCTGAAGGAATAAGCTATACTGATATCTGAGCAGAGAAAGTTCTGGGAAAATGAAACAGCAAGCACAAAGATGCTGTGCTAGGGGCATGCTGGGTGTGCCTGTGAAACTGCCAGGGAGCTAACATGACTAGAACAGTGTACAGGAGAGAAGAGAGATAAGGGTAGAAAAATAACAGAATAACCTAAGACATGGCCTAAGCCTCTGGCTTTACTCCAAGTGAGATGATGAGCTACTGAGGGGTTCCCAGCAGCGGAGTGATGTAATCCAGCTTATATTTAAAAAGATCGCTCCTTGTAAAACAGACTATGGTTCATGGGCAGGAAAGGTAGGTTATTAGGTGGGAGGCTACTTAGTGTAGTATAATGATGGGGGCTACTAGGGAGCAGGAAAAAAGCTAGTGACTAAACTCCGGATTTTTTTAGATTCATATAATTTAAATTAACACTATGCAAAATAAATTACCAAAGCCAAAGAGCAAATTACTCAGACTGACAGCATCACCTGTGTACGACAGAGGTCTGGTATTAGTCATTTGCCGTGCTTTCATAGCTTGCTGTTGTTTCTCCAGAGCTGCTAACATGTCCCCCAAATCTAGCTGCACAGGTGTTTTACTCTTCTTTCCAGCTGCCTTTGATAAAGCTTCCTGCAAGGCAAACAAAAAACATTTACTTTTTCAATTCAAAAGTGTGGCAATTTAAGATGATTTTATTTGTCATTACTTCTGTCCATCCTCGTAAACCTACCAAATAAACTATTACATTTGTTCATAAAAATGAATATATATATATATATATATGTATATATACCTGTAATTTTTTTTGCTCCATACTTATTTCTGAATATTCTTGAGCTGTGGCAAGGGCTGCTGCTAAAGCTTTCTTCTTCTGACTTTTTGCACGTTTAGGAACTGAAGTTGTAATGGGAATTGGAGTCTGAACTATATTGATTGGTGAGTTTTCAGGTAAGTCATCCAACTATAATAACCAGAGAAAAACAACTGTCGGTGATTCCATAAATGTCTAATCATAAGGAAAAACAGTCAAGAATGTGGAACATAGCCCTGGCTAGTGTGGCTCGGTTGAGCATCAAGGTTGCCAGTCAGGGCATATGCCTGGGTTGTGGGTTCGATTCCCAGTCGGGGTGTGTAAGGGAGGCAACTGATTGATGGTTCTCTCTCACGTGGATGTTTCTCTTGCTTTTTCTCTTTCTCCCTATCCTTTCCTCACTCTCTAAAATCAATAAAAACATTAAAAAAAAAAAGAATGTGGGATGTTCTGCAGTATAACTGAACTAGACTCTTCAAAGGATTCAGTGTCATAAAGAACAGTGTGAGGTGGTGGAACCACTCTAGACTGGGAAATAATAGAGACAAAACAGCTTGATGCAACAGGTGATGCTTGTCTGCATCCCAGACTGAAAACAAAGTAACTCCAAAGTAAAGTTTTGCAACAATCAGGAAGTTTCAGTATGGAATGTATGTTGTATGATGTCATTTAATTTTCTTGTCCGCAGTGAAACTAACTATGACTTAGGACAGTGTCTTTGTTCTAGCTAGCTATGTTGACCTGTAATATTTCTTTTCAACATAGCCATAGTTCAAAAGATGTTCAAATATTTTGCTTATATTTTTAAAATGTTTTTATTGATTTTTTTTTAGAGAGAGAGGAAGGGAAAAGGGGAGAGAGAATGAGAGACAGAAACATTGATGTGAGAAAGAAAGATCGATCGGTGGCTGCCTCCCTCTGTATGCACTCTGACTGGGGACTGAACCCAAAACTTGGGCATATGCCCTGACCAGGAATTCAACTGGCAACCTTTTGGTGCACAGGACAATGCTTAAATAACTGAGCCACACCAACCAGGGCTTTGCTTATATATTTTTTTAAAAGAGTCACTTACTACTTTTGAAGAAAGTTTCTGTTGAATATTTTCATCTTTAGCATTTCCATTCTCATTTAGTTCTCGAAATCCATCTTCATCCTGAAAGTGTTTCATATTTCAAATAAAATCAGTTCAAAGTGATAAACTTTTAAGAAAAACATTTTATAATGCTTAAGAGTAATTAAAAACTGGGAAGTTAACTTTTTTAGTACTAATATTAAACTATTTAAAGTCAGTCTTAAAAAGGAAATCTTGCCCTGGCCAGTGACTTGGTTGGTTGAAGCATCATCCCATACACCAGTGGTTCTCAACCTGTGGGTCGCGACCCCTTTGGCGGTCGAATGACCCTTTCACAGGGGTCGCCTAAGACCATCCTGCATATCAGATACTTACATTACGATTCATAACAGTAGCAACATTACAGTTATGAAGTAGCAACGAAAATAATTTTATGGTTGGGTCCCAACATGAGGAACTGTATTTAAAGGGCCAGAAGGTTGAGAACCACTGCCATACACCAAAAGCTTGGGGATTTAATTACCCATCAAGGCAGGTATGGGAGACAATCGATCAATGTTTCTCTCCCTTCCTTCCTCTCTAAAAATCAATAAAAACAAGCAAACATATCCTTATGTGAGGATTTAAAAGAAAAGGAAATCTCATTTCTCTTAAACATACCTAATTTAATTATTCAAGGATGGGGCATATTCACACGTCCATTCTTTGTATTTCTACTATTCAGTTTTTATTAATAATTCTATCCTGATCTAGGGTAACAGAAAATAAATTTTAAAAGGAATTTATCACATTTCAGATAATTTGGAAAAAATTTAATCACAAGGCTTAATATGAAGTTCATTAATATATTGCCTGTCTGCATTAACACATACTTTAGCACAGGTAAAAATTAAAAACTAAAAAAAAAAAAATTAAATTTTCCAAAGTAATTTCTTAACCAGTATCCTGCTGTACATGGAAAATTATATCTAGCCCAGCTGATGTGGCTCAGTGGTTGAGTGTCAACCTATAAATCAGGAAATCACAGTTCAATTCCTGGTCAGGGCTCCTCCTGGTCAGGAGGCAGCTCGTCAATGATTCTCTCTCATCATTGATGTTTCTATCTCTCTCCCTCTCCCTTCCTCTTTGAAATCAATAAAAATATACTTTTTAAAAGAAAATTGTATCATATCTTTAGCTAAATGTAAGTTTGGAAACAATCATATGGTTAAATGCAAATAATAAAACTGCCACAATACTGTTCTTGAAAGAATAATTGAGATGTACTCTCAAGTCTTTTAGGTCAATTACTAAGCTTATCTAATATAATATTCATCTCTAGCCTCTGGGCTCAAGCACTTTTTCCAGCTTAATCTCCATCTATTAACCTATTTTACAGAAACTATGACTCAACAAAAATGAGTTACTCAAATGTGTTACCTGATATGTTCACCATCAGCACAAACAAATCTTACTAATTCTTTTATTTTTATTTTATTTTTTTTAATTAAATCTTTATTGTTCAGATTATTACAATTCTTTTAAATCTATACCAAATGTTATTCCTACCCTGCCCCAAGTCCGAAGAGACTTGTCTCTCCTTTCAACTCCAACTACACTCAAACAAGTATTTAGGAGTGTACATGTCTACGTTCCTCTCAGGGGTGGGGAACATCTGGCCCGTAGGGCTGTATAAGGCCAGAGAAATCATTTGGTCCGGCCCTGCCACAGCATTAGGGGCGACTTAATTAAATGTTTGACCAAATATAGCAGGCTAATTTTTAGACTGTTAATTTTATATGGCCCCAGAATGATGTTATAAAAATCCAAATGGCCCTTGGCAGAAAAAAGGTTCCTCACCCCTGCTCTACTACAAAGCAACCTCCGTAAGTATAGCAGTATGTTTATTCACTTCAATGTATGATTCAGAATACCTTACTTTTACACATATGAATAGGCCTCCAACTAGATGAATCAATAATAGAAATACTGCAATTGGAATATAAACTTTATGCCTGTTAGAGGAAGTAAAATAACCTTTCTTCTTCCTTCTTCAAGAGTCTCTTGAATCAAGACTCTCCTGACTAGAAGCACAAATTAGACTGAACTATTCAAATCTGAGAAACTTGACAAATAGACTGAACAATAACAAAAACTGCAGAGAAAGTTTTATACTAGGTGAAATCCACATAAAATCATGCTCTACCTCTACATGTTACTTCAAAATGATGAATACTCTTCAACAGTCTATAAAAAATTAGTTAATATTAGACTAACTGTACAGGGTGGGACATATTATTTGTATCATATGGCAAATAATACAATAATTAATAAAAATAATACAAGAATTAACTGTTTTGGTACTTACAACTGTAAACCTACTTTTGCACCACCCCATATATAATCAAGACAAAAAAGAGTCAATACTAAGTAATTTTAGTCTAATAGTAGTAGAGTCACATGTTAATACATAAAAGTATTACCATAAGAGAAGAAAATTATTTTCTTAATGGGAACATCTGCCATAATAGTTTACAAAAAAAGTGTGAAAAAATACCTCAAAATATAAAGACTCAGAATTTGGGTCACTTCTATGAGACTGATTGGGATTTAACTGCTTATTATCTTGTCTCTTCTGCAAACTCTGTCTTCTTTCTGAGGAAGTACTATGTCCTCGGCATTTGAATCCAACCTAAGTGAACCCCAAAGGGGGAAAAAAAAACCCAAGTCTTATTATTTTTAAGTAAATTTTTTTTTACAGATACTTACAGCAAAGTATACAAATGTGTACAACTCAATGAACTTTCATGAAAGTGCATAATTTGTTATGAAAGGTTAAAACTTTGAGAAATAAGGTCATTATAAGAAAAATAGGAAAATGCGTTGTTACTTTTTGTCCCCTATAAATGAACGCTTACATCAGTTTTATTAACAATAGCCCAGAATTGGAAATAATCTAGGTGTCCTTCAGTGGGAAAATAGTGAATCATTGCCCAGGCCGGTTTGGCTCGGTGGATGGAGTGTCGGCCTGCAGACTCAAGGGTCCCAGGTTCGATTCTGGTCAGGGGCATGTACCTTGGTTGCGGGCTCATCCCCAGTGGGGAGTGTGCAGGAGGCAGCTGATCGATGTTTCTCTCTCATCGATATTTCTAACTCTCAATCCCTCTTCCTTCCTCTCTGTAAAAAATCAATAAAATATATTAAAAGAAGAAAAAAAATAAAAAAAGAAAAAAATAGTGAATCGCACTGTGGTATATCCATACTTTGAAACAGTAGTCAGCCACTAAAAGGAGTGAGCTATTGATATACCCAACAATCTGGATAAATCTCTAGGGAATCATGTAAGTGAAAGAAAGCCTATCCAAAAGGACTATATGAGTTCACTTATACAACATTCTTAAAATGAAAAAATTATAGCAAGGGGAAACATACTAGTGGTTCTAGGGGTTAAGGAGAGGCTGGTGGGGTTGGAGACAGGAAAGAAACATGGCTATAAAAGGGCAACAAGAGGTATTCTTGCCATGATGGATCTGTTCTGCATCTTGACTGTATCAATGTCAATATCTGGGTTGTGATATTGTACTACAATTTTGCAAGATGTCAATATTGGGAGAAACTGAATATTACCTTTTTATTAAACTACTCTAAGTCTTCCAATATTTTTTTAAAAAAAGAATTCCTAAGAAATATTAAAACTTAAAAATCTTGTTTCCAAGAAAATAAATTTAAGAGAATAAATTTTTATTCAGTCACAAATTATTATTATCCTATTAAGGAATTTATAGCCCTAAACAGTTTGGCTCAATGGATAGTGTGTCACCCTGAGGACTGAAGGGTTCCAGGTTCGATTCTGGTCAAGGGCACATGCCCGAGTTGCAGGCTCGATCCCCAGTGTAGGGCATGCAGGAGGCAGCCGATCAATGATCCTGTTTCATCACTGATGTTTCTATCTCTCTCTCCCTCTCTTCCTCTCTGAAATCAATAAAAATGTATTTTTTAAAAAAGAAATTTACAAAATGTTCAATTGTCACAGGGGCAAGAAAAAAAACATTTTTCAAAATGCATTTTTAAAGTATTTTTTATTCATGCTACATTTTCACTGTTTTTTAAAAAATATTTTTTATTTTTTATTTTAGAGAGATAGAAACACTATTGAGAGAAAAAATATCTATCAATCAGCTGCATCCTACATGCTCCCCACTGGGGATCAAGCCTGCAATCTAGGCATGTGCCCTGGAACTGGTGAACTCTTGACTCATGGGTCAATGCTCAACCACTGAGCAACATCAGCCAGGCTTAAAAAGCATTTTTAAAAAGCATTAAGCATTTGAGGAATCTTAAGACATATTTCAAATTCCCTCTCTTAAGGACCCAATGCAACTAATATGAAATGCCACTCTTAACCAGGATACTTACAAGACATGAAAGTATGATCTTCATTATCAATTACCCCAAAATTCTAATGATTTAAAGCAGCGGTCGCCAACCGGTGGTCCATGAAGCACTGGTGGTCCATGAGGTTAGAAAGGTTGGCGACTACTGATTTAAGGAAACCTTTGGAGCAGCCAGCAGTCGCCAACCAATGGTCCATGAACCACTGGTAGTCCGTGAGGTTCGAAAGGTTGGCGACTGCTGATTTAAAGAACTTGAAGGAGAGCTGGATGGAAAGTGCTGGTATCTAATCTAGTAAAAGACAAACATGGTAATTAACCATACCTCCAACACACTTCCCATTGGCTAATCAGGGCGATATGCAAATTAAACTGCCAACCAAGATGGCGGCCGGCAGCCAGGCAGCTGAAGCGAACAGGAGGCTTGCTTGCTCCAGTGATAGAGGAAGCAAAGATTCCCTGCCTGCTGTGGCCGGGCTCTGAGCTGCACTCTAAGAAACAATGTTGCAATTATAGAAGCTAAACAAACCCCAGATACCTGCTTTCAGCCAGCTGGCCTCAGAGCTGGACCTGCAACAGTGTTTCAATTATAGAAGCCAAACAAACCCAGATACTTGCTTTCAGCAGCCGAGGCCTCAAGCTGGAGCCGGCCTCAGAGCTAAAGCCGGCTCTCAGCTCCAGTGACAGCCATGGAAGGTAAATAAATCCCAGAATAAAAAAAAAAAGAAAAAAAGGAGAGGTTGGGAGCTTCAGTCGCCCTCCAGCCTGAAAACGGCCCTCAGCCCCTCACCCAGACTGGCCAGGCATCCCAGTGGGGACCACCACCCTGAAGGGGGTGTGACCAGCTGCAAACAGCCATCAGCCCCTCATCCAGGCTGGCCAGGCACCCAAGCGGGACCCCCACCCTGATCCGGGACACCCTTCAGGGCAAACCAGCCGGCCCCCACCCGTGCACCAGGCCTCTAACCTATATAGTAAAAGGGTAATATGCAAACTGACCCTAACAGCAGAAAGACTGGGAATGACTGGTCACTATGACACACACTGACCACCAGAGGGCAGATGCTCAATGCAGGAGCTGCCCTCTGGTGGTCAGGGTGCTCTCACATGGGAGGAGCTCTGCTCAGCCACAAGCCAGGCTGACGGCTGCCAGTACAGTGGTGATGGTGGGAGCCTCTCCTGCCTCCTCAGCAGCGCTAAGGATGTCTGACTGCAGTTTAGGCCTGCTCCCCGCTGGCAAGTGGACATCCCCCAAGGGCTGCTGGGCTGCCAGAGGGATGTCTGATTGCCATCTTAGGCCCAATCCCCCGGGGAGCAGTCCTAAGCCAGCAATTGGTCATCCCCTGAGGGGTCCAAGACTGCGAGAGGGCACAGGCCGGGCTGAAGGACCCCCCCCTGAGTGCACAAATTTTTGTGCACTGGGCCTCTAGTCCTATATAATAAAAGGTTAATATGCAAATAGACCGAATATCAGTGGTCACTATGACGTGCAGCTCCTGCATTGAGAGTCTGCCCCCTGGTGGTCACTGTGTTCCCATAGGCCAGTGATGGCGAACCTATGACACGCGAACTCATTTTTTTGGTTGATTTTTCTTTGTTAAATGGCATTTAAATATATAAAATAAATATCAAAAATATAAATCTTTGTTTTACTATGGTTGCAAAATCAAAATATTTCTATATGTGACATGGCACCAGAGTTAAGTTAGGGTTTTTCAAAATGCTGACACGCCGAGCTCAAAAGGTTCGCCATCACTGCCATAGGCAGTGGTTCTCAATCTTCCTAATGCCGCAACCCTTTAATACAGTTCCTCATGTTGTGGTGACCCCCAATTTCATTGTTACAAATTAAACATAATTAAAGCATAGTGATTAATCACAAAAACAATATGTAATTATATATGTGTTTTTCGATGGTCTTAGGCGACCCCCGTGAAAGGGTCGTTCGACCCCCAAAGGGGTCGCGACCCACAGGTTGAGAACCGCTGCCATAGGGGGAGTGCCGCTTAGCCAGAAGCCGGGCTCATGGTTGGTGAGTGCAGTGGCGGTGGCGGGAGCCTCTCCCGCCTCCGCAGCACTAATCATGTCCAACTGGGGAGCGGGCCTAAGCCATCAGTTGGACATCCCCGCAGAGCTCCTGGACTGTGAGAGGGTGCAGGCCAGGCTGATGGGCCTGCCCCCCCGCAACCCGCTAACCCCGAGTACATGAATTTCATGTACCGGGCCTCTAATATAGACTATAAAATATGCACACAAAGACCTGGAACCACTGGCAACTCCCATGCTTAAACAACTGATTGAAAAAGACTTGCTATTAAGAAATAGAATTTTTACATTCTTTTGGGAAGTAGGCTATATGCAGAACTATAGGCCAGGAAAATAGTCACATAGCAAATTTAATTCTTCCTTAGAATATGCATGATGATTACTGGGCTACTTTCTACAACCTGTAAGTACCTGTTAAGAAACTAGATAATTTCCCAGATACCCAAGAATTTCTTGGTTTTAAATATTAACCTCATTTTAAAACAGGCTCATGAACATGGAGAGAGGAATACATATGTGATGAAGCAAATATTAGTAAATGTTAGATAACATATAGCTAGCTGGTATCTATATGAATGTTATCTGTAAAATTATTCAAACTTTCCCATTTAGAAATTTTCATAAAAAATATTGTAAAAATTGATTCATGAAAAGAGGCTCGTAGAGGGTGGTAAAACAAATGCAATTTATAATGTCTAGGTACTAAAAAAAATTTAATTCACATAAATCAACACTGAAATTAGTACTAATAATTAAGCCCCAAGTTAGGGATAAAGAAAAAGAGAATAATTCTTGAGTACAACTCTTCATTTTTTTGGTACAGTCTCTCTCTCTCTCTCTCTCTCTCTCTCTCTCTCTCTCTCAAAAACAAATGCAACTTGATTTTATACTTGGATACATAAAGCTCCAGGATTAAATTAAAATCACCAAACTAATGGTCCCAACAAAGTTTATGAGACTCAAACAATTACCTCCTGGAGTAAATAACCTCATTTCTTACAGTTCTTCTAAGAAGAAGAGTTTTATTGATAGGGAAGTAGGCATACAGAACCGAACAAAACAAAGATCACAGCCTCAAATATATACTGAGATTCTTAAATGACTAACATAAAAATAATATAAAAAGATTTAAGTTTTCATACTCCACATATGTAACCAAAAAAAGAAAAAAAATACTAGAAACTGACGTAATGAGGAATATGTACAAATATATTTTCAGAAAACTATACAATGATTCTGAAGAACACAAAAAATG